CTCTCTCTCTCTCTCTCTCTCTCTCTCTCTCTCTCTCTCTCTCTCTCTCTCTCTCTCTCTCTCTCTCTCTCTCTCACACACACACACACACTTGCTTTTGGCTCCGTCAAACTTGGATCGATACAGAGAAAATTAGCATTCGCTGTGAGGAAATGACATGAATGGCTCGTGGTCTTCCTCTTCGTGCTCCTCTCCTCCCCCCGCCCCCCTCCTCTCGCTCTCTCTCTCTCTCTCTCTCGCACACACACACTTTTCTCTTCGCCATCCGTCAAACTTGGATCGATACAGAGAAGATTAGCATGTCCCCTTGGGAAATGACACGCATGAATAATGATCTTCCTCTTCATCCTCCCCCCCAACTCCCCGAGTCTCTCTCCCTCTCATGTGCGCGCGCACGCACGGGCGTGTGTTCCATCGACGAGGCATCGATCGAAAGTTCTCCCTCGGCAGCTTCCAACTCCTCAGCGTCGTCCTCCACTGCCCCCTCTTTCTCTCTCGCGCGCGCGTGCGCACACACACACACACGACGTGGCATCGATCGAAGAAACGAAAGAACACGGAAATTGAAAACCAGGCAATGAACAGAACAGAAAGAAAAACTGAACAAATGCACACACATACACGTGGAGGTTTACCTCACCTTCATTCATCGTGGTCCGGTCGACTTCAAGACTCCACGCAATGAACTGCCCAATCCTCAGCGTCTTCAACCTTCACGATGCATAGCCCGACCTCCAGCAAGATCTCTCTCTCTCTCTCTCTCTCTCTCTCTCTCTCTCTCTCTCTCTCTCTCTCTCTCTCTCTCTCGCGGTAGTAGACAGTCCGAGAAGGCAGTCGCGACTCCAGCGTACTATACAAGGCAGAGTAGCGAGTCGAGGGTCAAGCGTCTCCCTCACACACACATACACATCCCGGTGGAGCCAAGTGTCTTCGATAGTCCGAGTCGAGAGTCCGAGAGTCGAGCATACCACACAGCGCAAACTGAAGCGTAGTAGTGCCATGGGACTTCCGACTAAGGCCTTCACTGGTGTATGAACTGCGCTATGCCCGTAGGTACCTGCCAGCCTCTGGTCACCTCGAGCGAAGCCGAGGTCGATTTTTTGTTTTTTTTTTCATTTTATATCAAAATCGAATTGACCGGCCCTAGGTAGTTCAGACTTGTGTGAAATTTCAGGACATCGGTCTGGTTTTGGCCAATGCTGTTCCTAGAATTGATTCTAGTCTACTACACAGAGAAAGGGGTTCTAAGTGCTCGTAAGCTAAAACTGGCTGACGCTGCCAGGATAACTCCGGGGGCAAGGTCCCACTTGCGCAAATTAGGAGACTTCGGCCGTTGATCTTTGCTATCTAGGGTCAGTATCTCATAATTCGTGCAAGTGGGACCTAGCCCCGGGTCGAATTGTGGGGTCCCCG